GTGCGATGTCTTCAGGCTCCATCAAGGAAGACAAGCCGCCTCTTGTGAGTCAACAATGCGTGGTGTATTCTTTCCAGTGTAGCCTGTGTGATGCAGGCTATGTCGGCTACACGTGCCGACACCTACACCAACGAATTGAAGAACACAAAGGATCGGCAATCGGAAACCACCTCAGAGAGCAGCATGATATGGATAGAATCTTAAGAAAGTGTCAGAACAAATTTGACTGCCTTATTTTTGAAATGTTTTTTATCCAAGAACTGAAACCGACGCTTAACAAACAGTGCGATTCAATTCGTGCCAAATTATTTGTTTAGAGTAGTTCTTGTTAACATTGTTTTATTTCCATTGTTTTTTGACTTTATAAATATTTTTAGCACTTTTTACATTTTTACATATTTTATCACATTTTAGCGTTCACCACATTTTTATCTATTATAACTTGTTTTAACTTATTTATGCTAATGGGCGATTCCAGAAAATATCCATACCATACCACGGACGGCTTCTAGGATTTCCGAAGGGGAGGGGGGGTTCACGATTATGGAATTCTGAGGGCATGGGGGGGTATTTACGATTGGATATCCGAAGGTACTGGTGAATTCCACAGGTGGGATTTCTGGAGTAGAAAGTGTAGAGTGAGTTCCTTGAAAACGGTATTGTTGTGGACTTTTGTAGTTCAGGGAATAATCCATTTAACGTATGACCGCGGAAGCAGAAGACAAGGATCGAGAGATCAGACACGTGTTTACGCTCATAACTTATACAAGTGAACAGTAAAACGTGGGTTTCACATTTACCTTGATGAATTTCTTGTCACATGAATAAATCTTACCGCTTGCAAATTTCTTGTTACTCCCGTCCGATGAACGATAAAAAACTCGCACCAGTCCCTCGCTTCCAAGGAACGCCTGGAAGCATTCGGACCGTCGGAGGGCAATCGGAGGAAGACTCGGGAGAACGAGGTCTGGCCCCGGTTGTTCAAACGTTGGATAGCGCTATCCAGCGGATAAGTATTATGGAAGCGCCCACGACTACACCGAAAGCAATGGCGCGAGCAGATTCGTCATGTTATTTAGCAACTTGCAGCAAGAAAGAATCTAAAAAGACTTTCCATTTTTCCAGAAATGCTATACATGTTGTATTTTCTTTGAAGATAGGTTTTGAATGATTTACAGCTCTGAAGTGCGACAAAAACATTACACACATAATAATATACGTCAACTTTGAAAAAATCGATAAAAACAACAACTACAGACATCTCGGTCAATAATAGAAACTTTCAGTTTATGTCCGTGGTAAAATCAGTATTTTGACAAAAGAACGATATAAAAGGTAAAAGCTGATAACTGCAATCTTTTCTTTGACAATTTCTTCAAAATATTTGCATGGTAAATGCCCAATAGAACAAAACGTTAGGTTCATTTACAACGTGTGGCCAAAAACATCAAGAACAAAGTTATTAAATCTGATACTCTAAGTTTGAGTCACTTTTATGGTGTATGATTTACGTTCCAGCAAATATTTAAAAGAGGCTTCCTGATTTTCGTTCGGTCCACACATGCTTGAGAAACGTTTGTCTCACATACACAAATATGTGTTAAGTTCTGTAAGCTCTCAATGATAAACAGGAAGGTATTGTCATCCACAAAGGCGTAGGGGATGATTAAGCTGGTAAGGTTGCAGTTGTTGCTGACAATCTCCGAAATCTCCTCCTGGACAAAAAAGTAACCTTCTTGACAGTCCAGTATTCTCAGTGACGGACTTTCTTTCGCAATTAAAAGCACTCCACTTCTCCTGAACCCGCAAACACCTTCAGGGGGAAAACCAATATACTTTAGTTTCGTCAGGGCGACTATCTCTGGTATGCACAACTCGCTAATTCGCGTTCCAATTAAGTGAAGTTCTTCTAGATCTCTGGTAGTTCGAAGAATGCTTGACAAAATTCCGTCAGTGATACTGGTCCCTGACAAAGTGAGGCGCCTGAGCCCACTTAGTCCTCCTAGAAGTAAACATGAGCCATCCAAAAAACGGCTGTTAAAGAAGTCTACTGCGATAAGCCTTTTTGCAGCGGCGAATAGAGATGACAGTTGCTGATCCTCGCAGTGCGATCGAGTTATGGAAATATCTTCCAGCAAAGAGTAATCATAAAGAAGAGAACTCCACCTGCGGGAAACCGTACGCAAAACAATTCGCTCAGTAAAATGGATAAACGAAAAGATTCTTAAGAGAATTTCGTCAGGAAGCTTATACATGACTCAGTCCTGGTATCTTTCATACGAGCGGCTCGTGGGTGAGGCGAAGGATTGATTATTATAACTGGGTCCTGGTATTGAATAAAAAGGCGAGAAATTATTGCGGAAATTAGCGGTATCCGGTCCCTGGCCCAGAATATAGCAAGTTCTTTGTTTGTTTTGGTTACCTTTGGTTGGTTTAGTTGACACATTAGACCGTCAAATAATCTTTTTGTGTAGGAAAGAAGGAGGCATTTGGCGTTTGAGTTGCTATTTTTTGTGCAGCATTTCGGCGAATAAATTCCCATCTTGCGATATTGCGGTGATCTGAAATCTAACAGTGTAAGATATATGCATCTTTACACCTGCGATGTTCGGTGAAACGAAATTATTTGCGCCGTTGATCATTTTGTTAAAACGGCCCTTCATTTGGCATGTCAGACTACCGGTCAGCGTGATCGAATCCCCCAAGTCTTAGTAAAGAGAAAGAAACGTCTTGTGAAGTAACAAAGCGAAAGGTGGTGTTAGCTAGCAAAGTAAGGGCATGGGGGCAAATATGAAAGCGGTGTCGGCAGTAGTTAATATCATTGTGGTTTGGTGGTATTCAGAGCTCCTCCTCCCGCCCGCCCAATGCACCCCTTTTGAAAGAGACAAGTACAAGTAGCATTTACTCAATTTTACTAGAATGATAATTTATTATGGTTGAAATTACTCGGGAAATTATTTGTAAATGTGCTACCAAAAATGTGTTTTTCATTCATAGATCAGTATAATGGTTCTTTTTAAAATATCTTAGATGCAAAATGTAATACATTTTCAACTTGGTAATTTCTAGCTATTTGTCCATAGCATACCATGCTTAACGCTTTTCCAGTTCTTATGTAAATTTAAAACAGAACGAACTTAGGGAACGGAAACGTCTTGATTTAAAATTTCACCAATCATCGTCACTTTCTTTTGCTTCCTTAACTAGGTCCTCAACTTCTTGCCTCTCATCTTCGCTGTGGCTTTCCACTGGAAATTCCACTTCCTCTCTAGGAACGGGCGGTTTGGCGGGTTGCAACTTAGCTTTATTAGCATTCTTAAAGCTTTTCCTGAGGGCATCCAAGGCGAGTTTCACTTCTGTCATAGCATCCGAGAGCTTCTCCTCCTTCTGTATTACCTCCCCCTTCACAGCTTTGCCACCTTTTACATTCCACTGCTGCTTTAATTGACGAATTTGACGATTCAGTTCGTTTGCCACGCGCTTAGCTTCCTTTACGCGTTCTATGTTTTTAGTGACAGTTTTATTGCTCGATCCCGGCTTGCTTTCTGACATATTTTGGAGCTCTGCTTCAACTTTAGCTGTCAAAATTTCACACGATCGCATTTGCCATGCTGTATCTATGACACCATGGAGTTCTTGCTTTCTGTAATTATTGAAGTGCGGGTCAGAGCACAGTTCTTGAGCTTTACTATTCCAAAATTTGTAGTACTCTTTGCGGCCATCAGTGGCCCTTTCAATGTCGCGCGAAGAGTACAGATGAACTCTTCCCCTTGCCGAATCTAGTGGGTCCTTAGGGCGCTCTGTGCGAATCTTGAATGCGGATTCAATGGTTGTTTGTTTAGCTCTCTTTCTTGGTACCGGCTCGTCGACTTTTTGATCTGGGCATTCTGTTTCTGTGCTCATCAGCACCTTCTCTTTGCTGCAACTTTTTCCATCAATATTTGCACTAGGCTTCTCCTCGCAACGCTGAAGATAAAGGGAAAATTCACCGTTCCTTTCGTTGAGACATTTTCTCAGTGTGACCAGTTTTTCCTGCTTGGCAGCAAGTGGGATTTTAGAATTTCCACTGATCGGCTTCAAAAACCGATAATGATGGGGAACAAACTCGGAAACATCTTCCAAAAGAGCTCCCTTCGCCTCCATGAGTGAAAGATTCATATCTTTCTCCTTAACAAAAAGTTGACAAGTGATTTTTTCGTCAACGAATACATCGATTTCGAAACTTTTTCCTTCCATGTTCAATCATTCACAGTTGAAATGAACTGCCTCTCCACACTAAGATCAGAAGTGTTATATGTAAATAAAGCTACCCAAGGTGTGAGTCAAAAGGCGCTATTGTCTTGTGACAAAATGCTATTGTATTGCCAAAAAATAATTATGGGGTGTGAGGGCACGATTCGTTCAGCATCCGAATTACACTAACCAATTATAATTTGGTACAGACTTTAACATAACTTATGCCACAAATCGACCTCAAGAGTTTCACAGTAGAATACAGCTAGGCGATCAAAACAATTTCTTGAGCCGTGAAGCGGCCTGGACTACTATAACCACAGGTCATCCAAGGACAACATTTAGACCAAAAATACGATGCCGCAGGGAAAACATAGCCCGTGTACAAAACTTTTCTTTTTGTCCTTACATTAATTCTTCTTTTAGCCTATGTCACCTCTAGTCGGTTGTTTCTGCGCGCAGTGCGCTAGCCTGTGAACACTGGGAAGTTGGCAATAAAAGTGACTTATAAATAAAGTTACTAAGTTACTTATGACAGCGATGATTCCATATACAACTGTACTAAGTTCTCATGTTGCTGCCACAGTAAGCACATCACAGAGGTCTAGATCTTTTAGTAATAGCAGCACAGTTTTCTTTGGTCGTTTCAAAATATGGCAAGAAACAGTGTTAAATCTATGGCATTTCCTAGTGTAGATTCTACTCTGGCACTGCGCCCTCGTGTATATTCCTTTGTATCAAAGTATGCTACATTAACTTCAGTAACCGCTTTGTCCGTAATACCGCCGCTGAATGCATGCTTGGTCGCGAGAAAAGATTTATATGGAATGAAAGCTCAGGAAAGCAAATACTGTGATCAGATCGCCGTTGTAACTTGGCAAGGATACGGAACATTTTCTTGGCAAGGAGTTCAAGACATTGTCCAAATTCACAACGCAAAGGATACTAAATTAGAAATCAACAACGAGGAGAAGTGGTATTCTAAACTTTGCTCAGTCCTGTCTGGAAAGCATTATGAGCCTCTCTTTAGAGACGTACATGACTTCATGTCAACCCTCTGGATGAGCGATGTAACAGATCGAGTTTACAACACTGCTCTCACGGTGGAAACATTGTCTAAAATTGTCTGCGATCGTTGGCTTAACGATGAAATCATTGAGTGCATATTTAAGATGCTTAATCGCGACTCGAGGGAACATCTATTTCTTGTTGCCACAGAATCACTGTTGCACTCGCCAAAAGTCCAAAAAAATCTGCGTGATGAGATCAACGAAAAGGTACAGGACGGGTTGAGATATGTGCACTTCGCATTAAATGTTCAAAAGAATCCAAATGGAACAGTTTCTGTTGGCAATGGAAATCACTGGACATATTTTGTGTTTAATACTTCGCTGAGTGAGCTATATTACGGTGATTCTTTGGGATTGAATCTACCAAATAACCTTGCGGCTGTAATGAAACCGTACTTTGAAACTCTTTGTTTTGCACATGGGAAACCATACACAAAGCCTCGTCGACCAACATTAATGCACTTTGCCAATAGCAGTGGTTCAAATCACAAATGCAGTGAAAGATGTTTTCAGGGCTTCCCCCTGCAAAAATGTGGTCATGCTTGCGGACTTTGTCCGATTATTGTGGCTGCACTAGCCGGAAAGGATGAAAACCTGTGGAAATGTATTCTGCATTGGAATAAACTGGACAAGGCTACAATGAACCAGGTCAAAATAATCAAGCACATTTCAGCTAACTCGAGTTTACTTAGGGCACAAATAATAAGCTGGATTGTCCGGGATGAGGTGAGCCTTGGTTACGTAGTTCGAAAAACCGCATCTTTTAAAAACGGCAACAGTTCCGGCACAGATAGAATTTTAACACATGCTGACAAGCCGGCCAAAGCCAAAGGGAATCCGCCAGTCGACACTGAAACGCAAGAGGTTGCAGCGAATCTGACCGCCCATACTGAAACACATGCAGAGAGCCAGCCTGTTAACATTGAAATGCCTTCAGAAAGTCAGGCTTTTGACATTGAAATGCCTTCAGAGAGCTTGCCCGCGAAGAATGAAGCGCCCGCAGAAAGTCAGCCTGTTAACATTAAAATACCTACAGAGAGCCTGACTGCAGATACTGAAACGACCGCAGATAGTCAGCCTGTTCACATGGAAATGCCTACAGAGAGCCTGACTACAGATACTGAAACGCCTGCAGAAAGTCAGCCTGTTAACATTGAAGTGCCCACTGCAGAGAGCCTGACCACAGAAACTGAAAAACCCGCAGAAAGTCAGCCTGTTAACATTGAAATGCCTACTGCAGAGAGCCTGACCACAGAAACTGAAAAACCCGCAGAAAGTCAGCCTGTTAACATTGAAATGCCTACTGCAGAGAGCCTGACCACAGAAACTGAAAAACCCGCAGAAAGTCAGCCTGTTAACATTGAAATGCCTACTGCAGAGAGCCTGACCACAGAAACTGAAAAACCCGCAGAAAGTCAACCAGTTAACATTGAAATGCCTTCAGACAGTCAGCCTTTTGACACTGAAATGCCTTCAGAGAGCTTGCCCGCGGAGACTGAAGCGCCCGCAGAAAGTCAGCCTGTTAACATGGAAATGCCTACAGAGAGCCTGACCGCAGATACTGAAACGCCCGCAGAAAGTCAGCCTGTTAACATTGAAATGCCTACAGAGAGCCTGACCGCGGATACTGAATCACCTACAGAAGGCCTGCCCGCCGATATTGAACTGTCTGTAGAGAATGTGCCTGACGAAATCCTTAGTAAGACTCAGCCTGTTGACAGCAAAATTTATGAAAATCAGTCGGATGTTAACTCGTCAATTTCACATTCGAGGTTACCTTTTCCTGATGTATCTAAGAAGTTTTATTTTCGAGAAGGCAGGCGCTGGGCAAGGAACGAAACGCGTAACAAAGTGCGTGACGCTACACCCATGAAAAGCAGCAAGAATGGATTAAACGTTATTAGGAGAGGGAGTGTGTCTGGTTCCCTTCCTGAAAATATTGCGCACTTGAGGAAGGAATTAAAACGTGAGAAAGACGGACACAAACGAGCCGTTAAATACGGAGTGATAAAGGTAGCCGTTAAGCTCAAGGCATCAATTGTATTGTCCACGCGGGAAGCAGCTCTGTTGTACACTTCTGAAAAAAATAGGATTCTGAACATCCAAGACACTGAGTCAAGCTACAGGGCTAGTGATACTTATAAGATTCTCTCCAATTACTTGAATGTAGCCCAACTTTACGTTTTCGGTGTTGCTTATTTGTTTGAGGCACAAGGTAGAGACTTAAACCAGATAAGCCAGGCTATCTTCTCCTTGATGTCTCGATTCCAGGACAGAACGAGCAACGAGAAAGCCTTACTGGCACTTGCCCCTTCTTATCGTATTGTTCAGCAACTGCTTACAAGTAAACGCGATCGGGATACACTTGACGTCCTCCTTTCTAAAATCACCAGCAAAGGAACAGTCTTAAAACTCCGAGGTACAAAGTTCAAGAGTTCTCTTACAACGCAAGCGGCGAAATTAAATGAAGACATTGTACAGTATAAAAACATAGCAAGAGAGGCATTGACAGTTAGGAATGACATGACCAACCAGCAGCAACAAAAGTTCTACCGTTTGTTACTTAGGCGATTAAAAACGAAGCAATTAAAATCGCGTATCTCGCAAGGCAGAGGTCGAAAATTAAAATGCGAAGAGTTTCCCGAGTTACCTGCACTTCTTGAGTTTGCATTTGGAGACGGGGATAGGCTTCAAAGAAGTGAAGGAGGACTAGAAGCTCATTCAAAACTGTACAACGAGACAATGTACAAGGCAAGTGATAATACGACTGTCATGAGAGAAGCACTGGATCTCGTACGTTGCCTTGCGCCAGAAGATTTTAAGATTAGTTTGTCTTGCCTATACACTTACACCATGAATTATAAGCAAGGAACGGCGCAAGCCAAGAGACATCACCACGGGACTAACGTTAATGCTAAAATATCTCTACACACTGCACCCTCAACAGGCGAAATTAAGAAACCGGTAAATGCACACTGGACGACTTCGTATGTTAACTTTCTGTGTGACGTTGCACATCAGAACTCAGACAGTTACCTCCTTGATTCCAAAGACGCAAAATGTATTGTTGTCGGCGACATTCCTCCTGTGTTAAAACCAGGTCGGCTATGGAAAAGAGAGGTATATCCAGATCACACATTCGATCAGTCCAGAAATAATGCTGTGACACCAGTTTCACATCTTTTTGTTGAGACCAAGATAACAGCACCTCCACCTCTGTCCGAAGGATGCTTTAGCGTCCCCGATACTTCTGCATCGATCCTTGTTACCCGCACTGGGAAAGCAATGACAATTGTTAATTTATCTTTTTACGAACCAGAAACAGTTCTTCGAGTATTCAATGATATTTTCTTGCTAATGAGTCACAGCGAATTGACAGAATTCTTTAAAAATCCTAAAACTGGTCAGTTAAAAGAAGTGTTTGCTTTTGTTGTTGACAATGGTCCATCGGAGGCACCAGCCAATCTGCAAGTACAGATGCTGTTGGTTCGGCTTCTGAAGTTTCTCAATCTTGACAAAGCTACACAAAGATCTTTTGCTGAGTACTTAAGTAAAAGAAATTTTGTGGAGAGGGTGCATGCCGTGGAAAATACTTCTTTTTCCAGACATGGAGTGTTCAGGGCACATAAAATCCACAAGCATGCGGATACTGGTTCACCTCAGCACAAGGAAAATATGGAGGCAATGGCCGAAGACGTTGTCAATAGTCTGAAAGGTTCGACTTTTGGCGGCAAACCGATTTATCCTCTGAGAGGATCAGGAGACTCTTTGGTGTTTGATGACGAAAATCGGTTGAAAGAATTCGTTCAACTGACCGACCAAAGAAAGGGCCAATGTCGAGAAGGTTATTCTCCGAATAAGAATAACGTCTTTCGCTATTTGGTGAAGAACTGGGGTGTCGACGAAGAGTTTAGGGGCAGCTATGTGGACGATTATGATACCCTTACGAACGTACAGACCGCCACTAGAGACCACTACTCTGTTTCAGTTTTTCGCAAAGACGAGAAATGGCGAGGAAAACCTATGGAGAGATTTGAAAGGAGGCCTTTACCAGACCTTGTTACATGGGAAGAAAGTGGAAAATTTCATTATTTACCTTTCGAATTGCGTGCAAACTTACTGCAAGGGCCTTGGGACGAGCTCCCTGAACTGTTCTTGCCATCAAGGGTGCTTGATTTAGCGTTCAGAGTTTTTCGGAAACCGGAACCTGCTCTGCTAAAACAGGTAGCCTTTCTTGCCTGGGTTTCTGACCAAGAGGCGGATAACTACTTCAAGGAAAGTGAGCGATTAGTTCAAGAAACTCTAAATGATGATGTAGTTAAGGAGAAGTGGGTTCACCACAAATTATTCACTTCCAATACTAAGCAAGAGCTTGAGGCCATGTGCGTTGCTAAAGGGATAAGCTCTGTCGGAAAGAAGCATGAGTTGGTTGCAAAATTGGCGGAAGAAAAAGATGCAGATCGCGATGTTTCTATATATGACGGAATTATAAGTAATGTCCCTTCTTCTGTGAGTCAGTTGAATAAACAACCAGTTCGATACCTAAGGGCAGTCTTGTCGCATCACGGAATCCTTAGTGTTGGAACTAAGGAGGAGTTGATTATTCGCATTGGACTTTTGAAATGTGGACAGCAGCAAGCGGTATTCAGCAGAGAGAGAAAAGCCTTGGTAGAGCTTATTTCAATGTTCAAAGAATTGCTCGGCGTTGAACGAAAACAAAACAGGCAAGGTCTAGTGACGAGAAAGCGAGCAAACGCCAGCAATGAAACGTCACTCATGACGACGAGGGAAGCAGCAAGTGCCAAGAAGGAAACTATATGCCCACCTCAAAAAATGGAATCACGTAGTGTCACTGAAACGCTTGATTTCCTAGAAAAAAAAATCGTTCTGGAGGAAAAAAAGATGCAATCTGTTTACAGAAAATCTTTCCAGGCTTCAGAGAAATTCGGAAATGTCCCAAGTGCAAAAAGAGCAAGGACAGCCGATTCTTTCACAAGACCACGTTCTCAACGAAATCGTAAAGTTCCGGAGAAAATAAAAGAATCTTTCAACAACATGACCAGTGACTTCGTAGCAGTTGGAAGCAAAGTGAAAGTGTTGTGGACAGAGAAGGAACTTAAAGGCACAACGTTTAAGCCGGGCTGGTACGAAGGAGAAATACAATGGTACGACGAGGACATGGACACAGTAGGCATTCTCTATCGTGAAGACCTGAAAAGAGGGGCAATGGCAGTGTACGAACTGTGTCTTACGCTTGCAATGGCAGACGGCATCGTAAAATTTTAAGCTAATGTTAATAAGCCCGGTATAGGGACTTTCTTTTCTTCCTTGTCACATGACCATTTTTCTTTGAGAACGCAGCTTTTCTTCAGTAGTTCTCAGTATTGGCAGTGTCATTCACAGCCCTGTGAAATTAGTCTTTCTCCAAAATATACACTTTTCATGTTGTTTAAATAATGATAGCGTCCCTATCCGTACAAAAAAGTAATTTTTAGATATTGCATGATACATTGTAGTTATTGTAGGTTGAAAAACATGACTTTGGATGTCCAATCTCTGGAAAATGAAGCAAAATGATGGAGATTTCCTGATTAGTTTAGTAGTTGATTTCCATTCCTGCTAGAGAGCAAATATAAGCTTAGTAAGGAGAAATAAAACGAGTATGATATGGTATGTAAAGCTTCAGCTTGTGTTCACTTGTTTGTGGGCTAAACATTGTGAAGGAATAATTTGAAGGGTTTAGAGAAGGGAATGTCCTCGGAAAATGTAAGAAATCCCTTAATTGCCCCCAAAATAAACAAGTCTCATGATTTTCCTTATACTCGACCTAATCTTTTATCATGATACATTTCATGTACACTACATGAGACATATGGGTTGAGAACACTTTTCGTGAACACTACATGACGTATAAAAGGACGCAACAAGACTCGACGGTATATTTGACCGCTGAAAGATTTTAACTGTCTGAATTTGAGCTATTCTGCTTTGTAAACGTCAAAACAGCACAAGAAAATAAAGAGGAGTAAAACTGCCGTAAATGGTGTTTATTATTATAGCCAAATTCGGACTTAAAAAGAAGTTTTCACAGCCTGGTCACTAGCGGTAGGTTTTTCTTGTCGCTGAAGAGTAAAGCTTGTCGCCTAGCGCCGCTAGATCACAGCCCTGAGGAGGCATAGATTCATGTTCGTTTGTTCATATAGGCGTTGCTAAGTCGAAAATGTACTTCCCAAAAAAAACGGAAATTCTGAAGGGGAGGGGGGGTTCACGATTATGGAATTCTGAGGGCATGGGGGGGTAACGCATTTTGGAATTTCCGAAGGCAAGGGGGGTTTAAAACATGGAAGCCGTCCGTGGTATGGTATGGATATTTTCTGGAATCGCCCAATTTACAGAACTTTTATACACTTGAAAATGACCTCGGAGAGGTCGAAACGTCGTGATTTTTTATGGCTAATATTTATCTTAAAATAGAATTAAAGACAAAAATTATAGATGACTTGGGGCTTTTATAAAACATTAAAATAATATTAAAAACAAATTACAGATGACTTGGGCCTTTTATAAAACATTAAAATAGTATTAAAGACAAATTATAGATGACTTGGGGCTTTTATAAAACATTACAATAGAATTAAAGACAAATTAGAGATGACTTGGGGCTTTTATAAAGCATTAAAATAGAATTAAAGACAAATTAAAGATGACTTGGGGCTTTTATAAAACATTAAAATAGTATTAAAGACAAATTAAAGATGGCATGAATCTTTAATACTACATTAAAGTAGAATTAAAGGCAAAGCAAAGATATACCACCGAGCATTTTTGAAAAATTAAAGCTATACTAAAGTTGACACAAACGATTAATGAAGGGTTACTTTAGAACGCTTTAGGAGCAGTTCCTAAAGTTTATGAAATGAACCTTTCAGTTACCTTTCTTCTTAAATTAAAGCGGTTATGAAACGGTTCATAAGTTAGCCTTTAATTTTCACCTTAAAGTCTATGAAAAGTGTATTTCATGTCTTTAGTAAATAAATTAAAGATAGTTTAAATACTTCTTTTGTGTATCCTTAGGTAAGCTTTAAAACAAATTAATTCTATTATTTCGTCTATCTGAGCCAAAGGCGTTTGGCCAAGGCCAAAGAAGAAGGCATGATACTTGAAATTAATTGGCAGTATACAGACTCATCTGCTAAA